AAAATCCCCCAAAATCCCCCCAAATTTTCTCCCAACCCTCCCCCCGGGGCCTGTCCCGGTTTGGGACCCCCCCCCCAAAATTGTCCGGCGGGTTTGGGGCAGTTTGGGGCAGTTTGGGGCAGTTTGGTGATTTTTTTGGAGTTGATTTGGGAAAGTTTTGGGGCATTTTTGTGATATTTTTGGAGTTGATTTGGAGCTGATTTGGCACCGATTTGGGGCAGTTTGGGACATTTTGGGGCATTTTTGGGATATTTTTGGAGTTGATTTGGAGCCGATTTGGGGCAGATTTGGGGCATTTTGGGGTCGATTTCGTGGCATTTTTGTGATATTTTTGGAGTTGATTTGGGGCATTTTTGGGGCATTTTGGGGTCATTTAATGGCATTTTTGTGATATTTTTGGAGTTGATTTGGAGCCGATTTGGGGCATTTTTGGGGCATTTTTGGGCATTTTTGTGATATTTTTTGAGTTGATTTGGGGCAGTTTTGGGACATTTTGGGGCAGATTTGGGCATTTTGGGGCAGTTTTGGGGCATTTTGGGGCAGATTTGGGGAAGATTTTGGGCAGTTTTGGGACATTTTGGGGCAGATTTGGGGCACATTTTTGGGCAGATTTTTGGGACAGATTTGGGACATTTTGGGGCAGATTTGGGGCATTTTGGGGTCATTTCATGGCATTTTTTTGGATATTTTTGGAGTTGATTTGGGACAGTTTTGGGGCATTTTTGGGGCATTTTGGGGCATTTTTGGGGCAGTTTTGGGGCTAATTTAGGGCAGATTTGGGGCAGTTTTGGGGTTTATTTGGGGGTTTTTTGGGACAGTTTTGGGGCTGATTTGGGGCATTTTTGGGGCATTTTTGGGCATTTTTGTGATATTTTTTGAGTTGATTTGGGGCAGTTTTGGGACATTTTGGGGCAGATTTGGGACAGATTTCGCGTTTATTTGGGGCCATTTTGGGGCAGATTTGGGCATTTTGAGGCAGATTTGGGGCATTTTGGGGTCATTCAATGGCATTTTTGTGATATTTTTGGAGTAGATTTGGGGCATTTTGGGGCAGTTTTGGGGTCATTTAATGGCATTTTTGTGATATTTTTGGAGTTGATTTGGGGCATTTTTGGGGCATTTTGGGTCCATTTTTTTGGGCAGTTTTGGGGCAGATTTGGGGCATTTTGGGGCATTTTTGTGATATTTTTGGAGTTGATTTGGGGCAGTTTTGGGGCTGATTTGGGGCATTTTGGGACATTTTGGGGTCATTTCATGGCATTTTTGTGATATTTTTTGAGTTGATTTGGAGCCGATTTGGGGCATTTTGGGGCAGATTTGGGGCTGATTTGGGGCAGATTTGGGACATTTTGGGGCAGATTTGGGGCAGATTTGGGGCTGATTTGGGGCAGATTTGGGGCATTTTGGGACATTTTTGGAGCAGTTTTGGGGCAGTTTTGGGACATTTTGGGGCAGATTTGGGGCAGATTTTTGGGCAGATTTTTGGGACAGATTTGGGACATTTTGGGGCAGATTTGGGGCATTTTGGGGTCATTTCATGGCATTTTTTGGATATTTTTGGAGTTGATTTGGGACAGTTTTGGGGCATTTTTGGGGCAGTTTTGGGGTTGATTTGGGGTCGTTTTGGGACTGATTTTGGGCAGATTTGGGGCAGTTTTGGGGCCATTTCAGGATGGTTTTGGGGCATTTTGGGGCAGATTTGGGGTTGGGTTAGGGGCACTTAGAAGGTCAATTTGAGGCTGTACTGGAGCCGTACTGGTTCTGTACTGGGACTTATACTGGTGCCATACTGGTGCCGTACTGGGAGTTGAACTGGTGCCATACTGGGAGTTATACTGGTGCTGTACTGGTTCTGTACTGGGAGCTGTACTGGTGCCGTACTGGTGCTATACTGGGAGTTGTACTGGTTCCATACTGGTGCCATACTGGTGCCGTACTGGTGCCATACTGGTGCCATACTGGGAGCTGTACTGGTGCCATACTGGTGCCGTACTGGTGCCATACTGGTGCCATACTGGGAGTTATACTGGTGCCATACTGGTGCCATACTGGTGCCATACTGGGAGTTATACTGGTGCCATACTG